CAGATAAAAGTGCAAAGATCAACAAAGCAAATTAAGTTATGTTGCTCACACAAACATGGAAATAACTCTTTAACTAGTAAAGCAAACAAATGATCCTCCCTAGTCTCCGCTCGGTCCACACTGAGGTATTTGGTGAAATGTGAAAAAGTCCAAATGGAAGCAGCCAAGAGAGAAAAGTTTGTTCCCTTTGCTGCCTCTTGCTATGTTCCCCAAAGTTATACACCCGCTCTCTCTCCATCTCCCTCCCTTGCTTTCTATCTCTCCTTCCCCTTTCACTGCTTGGTCGCCCTCCAAGTTCCCCCCACCCACCCTCTTCAGCTTTGGCAGTCTGCCAGAAGCTCAGCAATGGCCGGACTCGTCACTGAGGGCTAAAATTGTCCAGTGATGTGGACGGGGATAAGGGGGAACGTGGATCACAAAGCCTCAGATGGAGGGGGAGCTGCAGCAGTCTGTGTACAGGGAGGTCACGCCCCCCACGTGCCCACACACACACACACACACACACACACACACACACACACACACACACAATTACCTGAGGAGACATCAACATCCTTGCAGTATCAAGTGACTCCTTACACCCCGCGGTGCGATGGAGCTGAGATGCTGTTAGTATGAATGTTATGCAGTGTTAACACCAAGCACTCGTGGCACATTTCCTCTTACCAAAATGTGTTTAATTTAAATTACATTTAAGCCCTGTAGTATTTACAAGTCATTGGTGATTACGTTCTACATCTGTAATGATTATGTTTTCATCCTGTGGCCCAATGTAGTTTGTAAAAATACGAAGACTTGGTTGTATCTTTTTTTTAAGACTTCATCTAATTAAAGAAATGGTTTTAAGCTAAGATAAACCTTCATTAAAAAAATGCAGTTGTTTAAGAATAGATAATCCTCTTTCTTAATTAGAGTTAGATGAGGAGATCTACAGCAGTGGTTCTCAACTGGTCAGGCCTCGGGACCCATTTTTTCCGTAGTCAATAGATCGCGACCCGAAATTTTGAACCACTCAAATCCATTCAACAAAAAATCGTGCAGTAATATATATGCTTATAGCGTACATTATTAATTAAAGTGAAGTACACTGCATACATCCCTTATATCCCTTCACAGAACAAAAGAATGCTTTTTAAAAAGGTTTAATGAGATGATGGAATCAAAGCTGGACTGATTTTTTTTAAATACTAACATATAAACTATGCATTCTGGTACACTCTGAGAAGAAAATAAATATATCTATTACTACCCAACATATTAATATTATTTTATGCCATTGTTTGTTTTTCACTTTGTTCTGACAGCTGAACTTGCTGCTCCACACAGAGAGAAGAGCAAAGAGGAGATAGTCTGTGTGACTTACTTTAAATTGTGGGTAAGGGTAGATAGCCCCCATTGTACTGTGACCTGTCAATCATCAAACCGGGGGTCATATTTCATTATAATAATAATAATAATAATAATAATGCATTACATTTTTTATTAGAGCGCTTTTACAGGTGCTCAAAGCGCTTTACAATTACACATTATGTGTTCATTTGTATCTGAAGTTGTACCCATGGATGTATAAAGAGTAGTTCTACCGTAAAGTTATTCTCCGTGGGGACTTCCGGGAACAATCTTGATTCTGATTGGCCAGAAGACCAGAAGATGTTTTTTTGAGAAGACGATCACTAGTTTTCAAAAACGTTTTTTCTTCACTCACACTCGAAACGGGTCCGCGACCCACTTTTGGGTCGCGACCCACCAGTTGATAACCACTGATCTACAGTATACCTCTCTCATTTTAGTACAATAAATACCGTATGAAGCTAATGCCAGCAGCTGATTAGCTTAGTTTCAGTTATTTTATTGTAAAAAAGGGAAGCAGGAGTAATGGTAGCATTTAATAGTCACATTACAAGTTTAACAGACAGGAAATAACATTTTCTATTGTGAGCTTTAAAGTTGCTGGTAGAAAGATATTATTTCTTTTCAAACAGAGCTAGGTTAGCTTTTCCCTCTGTTTCAAGTCTTTATGCTAAGCTAAGCTAACCAGCAGCTAGCGGTTACTTAATTTTGACCACACAGACATGAGAGAGTTGTTCGGATCATCTTATGTAACTCTTGGCAAGAAAGTTAACAAGCGTATATCCCAAGATGTCAGACTGTTCCTTCAAACAACCCCCCCCCCTTATTCTCTTCCCATAATCTTCAGCACAGGCCAGCTTATGCTATCTTCCTTTTATAGTGAGGTACGCATCACCTCTCTGTTGCTAAACTCCCTCATACTTGCTCAGGGAAAAAAGATCAATGGAAAGATAAAAAACACAGGAGGAGAGAAAATAGAAAGATGGAGAGAATATGAAACAGAATGAAGGTGATAATAACCCTGATAAATCAAACAAAGACTGCCATGATGGGATGTGAACAACCATCCACACATGGCATTAACACAGAGGTGCTAATTAACCCTTGAGTACCCTCACTTACCTCCTAAGCTCTTCTGAAAAGGTTGATGTGTACAGCTTTTGTTCCTACATTATAATGGGTTGTGTCAATGTGACACGTGGGCTTTAGTGACGCATTGTTTAAAAACTGAATTGGCCACAATAACCACCTTGTATACAGTTTATCTCTAATATATGTTCTACCGTCTGTAGCGAATACGACTTGGTGGGAGTGAGCTACATTGGCACTGTTGTTGGTGAGTTTTTATTTAGAGTCAATCCCAGTATGATTGCACCTTTAGTTTCCAGGACTTTGGAGATATTATTATTGTGTAACTCATGAGAACAGGAAAACTTCACAAGAGTTACTTGAGTTTTGGAGTTACCAGCAAGAATTTAATCAAAAGTGGTACTGTAAAGTAGCATTGGCTGTAAAGATAGTCTTGGTAGTTCTATATCCCGTTAATTCCCCTTATCATAATCGCCACCATCTCCAAGAAGCTAGCAGGCAGCAGAGCCTCTTCGCTCTACACCTGTCTATCTCTCTGTGGCTGGAAGCCCCAGTGGAAAATCTGCTCCGACCATCAAGGAGTCAGGCAGAGGTCGGCTGTGCTGATGGGCAGCCTGTCCTGCTGCCAGTGAAACCTCGCTGCTCGGTATGATTATCACAGACAGATATAGTCCTCTCCGTAACGCTATGAGACTCTCGTGTTACTAACAGATCTGTTTCAGATTCCACCGTGGAGGAACAGCTGACCTGGAGTCAGCTCACAGGCAAACTATATCCTCTCTAATCTATACCCTTATCATCCCTTTGTCCCCTATCATTTCTGTTCCCTGTATTTTCTTTTTCAGACATACAGATTAGCAGTATATCCTCACTGAAAGTGGATCACACGCAGCCCGCAGGTGGAGAATCAGTTTAGAGGGTGAAAGAGACAAGAAATTCACTCTGAATCCAAGGCTAAGACTGAGCAGAGTGCGTCTCAGTTGGCCCAATATGGTATGGTATGCCGAGACACCTCAGCCATGTGATGTGAGAAAGCAAAGCGACTAAGAGAGAGGAGGAGGGGGTGGCTGGTCCTCCTGGACTGTCTTTCTAAGAGAGAGGAGGAGGGGTGGCTGGTCCTCCTGGACTGTCTTTCTAAGAGAGAGGAGGGGGGGGTGGCTGGTCCTCCTGGACTGTCTTTCTAAGAGAGAGGAGGGCGGGGTGGCTGGTCCTCCTGGACTGTCCTTCTGTGAGACATTAAGCAGCGCTTCTAGTTAACAGAATCTCTGAACACATGCTTCACAACTACGATTGCGGTGCATCTCAAAATATTGCATCAGAGAGGGATTGGCTGCCTTTGAAGCGTACTTAGCTTTGGGTGTAGGAAAGACAGGATGTGAATTATGAAACAATGGCGCTAATGAATATTGACCCGTTAAAATTGTGGGAAATAAATCAGTATTCAGATTCCTTTTTTATATACCATTGATGATATATTAAGTATGTCATGAGCCAAATAAAACATCTTAAGGGATCTTAATGTATAAGAGTATTCTGTATAAAGTGAGCTGGAAATATTCACTCTCGGCATGGCATAACAAAATAGGGACATGTTTTGGCTCCATCTAGTGGTACTAAAGAAAACCAACAGGAAACTACTCAACAGCCAGCAGCTGAGGGATCAATTGCTTTCCTTTTTCTTTCTATGATTTATAAGCATGCTTTTCCCCAACAAACCTCTGCAGTGTTGTATTCTGAACGCTCACAGAAATGTCGTTTCTGTTGCAGCGTTGTAGCAAAGGTCATCTCTGCTGCCTTTTCAACAGGGTTCTGATTTTCATCTCTCCACATCCTTTCACCCGCTGCAAATAGGATGTAAGTACACGCATCTATGAATCACTGCTGAAAACAAACAATGACACAACACTGAATGTTGGAGACCCAGGCCCTCTTTCTTAGCTAAAAGAAATAAGCATAACATAATGGTTTCCCCTTGTCCTCTTATAAGATAAGATTTACTTTGGGAAACATTTTTGTTGCAGCAGCATAAAACAAAACAAGGCATTGCAAATAATAACAAATTAAAAGTCTAGTCGAATCAAAAACTAGTTAAGTACATGATTCAGTAGATTGCCCAATTTGTGAATTATATATTACGATCGTTGCAAATATCATGATTATATAGCAATAGAGACTGTGATATCCCAGAAAATGAGGAAATGAAGACAAAACTATTTCAATAACACAAACACTGACCTCTGAATGAGGTGTTGCTGAGCAGGCCACAGGATCCAGCAGCAGACGAGTATGGAAGGTTTGGCATTGGAGACTCAGCGATGGCTTCTAACCTGTGTTCAATGTTTCCCTGCTGCACATGCACAAGATAAACAATGAATCTGAGACGTCCTCTAAAGTCACAAACGAATCACTTCTGCAGAGAAAAGCCTATATTCACAAATTCCTTTGACTTACATCGTCCATTTTGCTCCATTTCGTGCTGATCTCTGTCCCTGTGGATTCTGTCGGGCTGATTCTGACCCTCCTGTCATCGGAAGAGCCTTTCCTCAGACAGATCCCTTCCTCTGTCTGTCTCTCAGCTGGAGACGCTCCGGTGGTCTTCTGAGCCTCTTTAAGGTCTGTCAGAGTCACGCCCTGCAGGGCAGTCATACAGCTTCATCTGTCAACAGCCAACACACAATCCAATAAAACCTGAGCCTCTGTCAGCCACGTGTTGTTTACCTGTGTTGACCTCCGGGTCTGTCTGGCATGACGAGACTTCGCTTTCCTCTGAGACTCCGCTTCTTCATCCCTCACCGGTGTCAGGTATGACCTGGGTGGGTACAAATATAATGGGTAACGTAGTTCAAATAATAGCACTTTAACGGGGCACTGTCAAAGAAATATACACAAAGAACAGAAGACGGTATACAAATTCTGTTCAGGGCAAATAGAGCAGACAGAGACAAACCCTATAGTCCTTATCAATCCAACTCTTTTTTAATGTTTTACAGTGCTGTGCCTTGTTAAAATCAACAATGGTGTTATCAAATACTTAAACAAATTAAATGGAGCAACCGTAATGAGTAAGATACTAATTGGACCTGAATAATATTATAAGTCAAACTCAATCCAAAAATACTTTTATTAGTGTTAAACACTTTCAACTATGTTAAATATGTGCAATATATATGTCGTTAATAACTGCAATATATACCTGGCTGCTAAATCCTAAGAACTGTTACAGGATGTGTATTTTGTAAATTGTGTAACTTTCACTTAATTTTATTCTATTTCTTATTATATTGTAACTTTTTTTTTACTTTAATACTTTTGTATGCATGCTTCTACGTAACATTAAGCTGTCTTTGACTCTTTTTCTGCTGTAACAAAGTACATTTCCCTTCTGTGGGACTAATAAAGGTATTCTGATTTTGATTTCTAACTGCTAGGCTCACTTACACCTCATTTGCGAAATGTGTTTGACATAATAAAAACTGTTGACATTTTAAAAATAGGCAATCCTCTTTGAGACAAGCCACACAATTAGATTATATAAAAGGACTGGTTAAAGTCGATATGTATGTGTTTAAGTCTTATATATATGTCCTTGTGGCAGTTGACCACTATGCTAAGTTGGTAATACAGCCTTAGTGTGTTGATTGATATAACGCTATACAACATTTTTAAGATTGTGAACAATTTATAATATACCAGGTACATCTTTATTATTAATAATGCAAGAAAATGCCCAGCAGCCACACTCCTCAACCTCCTGCTGAGTCTCCTTAATTGTGCCTTATGCTGGTGTAACACCCAGCTGGTTTACACTCTTTAATAGATTCCCCCCGCATTATGCACCATCTCAACATCTAATTTCAACAGGAAGTAGATCAAATTAGAGAGGCAAGAGGTTTTGAAAATGCATTTTCATCGTGTCCTCAAGACCTCAGCTCGATTTCCCCAAGAGGCTTAACACACACATAGAAAGAGCTGAGCAAGCATCAGTGGAGAGGCTCATGTTTTACACCGAGAGCTGACCGCCATGCTCTGCTGCTACGCTTTACTGCTATTGATCTCCCAGGACTGGAGTCACCCTGAATCCTGCCTGAGAGTCAGCGAGCTGCTCAAAGCTGTCTAATGTAGAAAGCATAGCATATGGACTATAGTATATAGGGTGATCCCACAAAATGACACAGTAAAATACCCCACAATAAGCTAGCTCCCAAACAGATCCACAGCAGATGAGTTGCGTTTAGGCAAATGCTCCTCTTAAGCAAACTTAATAAAGAATGTTCCTAATAAATATGCTAAAATAGTTGCTAAGAATAATATCCCTGAGCCAATAATTACTTATGTACATACAAAAGCTAATCATGACAGGGACTAATTTACAGCCCCTAAAGTAAACTACAGGCTCCCATTACATCAGTTCAAACAGGCCCACAGCACCTACACAGAGAATAGTTCCCACACATTAAGATGACAAACATGAGGACCAGGAGCGATGCCAAGACAGTGTATTCTTGGCAGGCTGAAAATAAAGATTTTGAAATATAACAGCATGACTCAGTCCTTCTGAAACTTACCTTGGAACAAATGCTTGCATGGTGCCTGTGGAAGGTCAGAGAGTGAGGAGCAGGGATACTGCAGCAGTGCTGAGTGGGAGAGGCTGAACACAATGACTGTTACCGGCGAGTGGAGAGAGAGAGGGAGGGAGAGACTTCCTGTCCATCTGAGTGATGTGCATACAATCGATTTAGACCATCTGTCTGCCAGTGTCTATTGCAAGCAAGCTAACAGTACACACTTTGGTTCAGTTGACAACATGTGCAGCAAACACAATGTTGATTGTGGTAATATTTAATAATTAGTGTTGGGTAGTAGTTAATTACAATTTGCAGTAGCTTTACTGCATTTTAGTGATTCAAGAGATTTCTTTGCCAATGTGTATGTAGTTACTTACTGAACCTATAAACAGTTTTGCCCATTAATAAAAAAAAAGTATGTTTATTTTACATTGTTTCCATGCCGTAACCACCTTGATTCAGCTTTGACCGATGAAAAGGTTCATATTTGTATTTTGTGCCTTTACTGTGACTCTTTTCACCCTCTGTCTGAAACCACAGCCCAGTCTGCTCTGATTGGTTAGCTGGCTGTCGGAAATGCCCACGCCTTGGCACATCAAGTACAATTTGTTGGAGCGTTGGCCAATAGAAGCGCAAATGGTACATAGTGATGTCACTATGTTACTTAAGAAAACAAAGGAATCCAATGGAGGTGTTTCAGGCAGGAGGGGAGTGTGTGGGAGAGAAACTCGTTCTGGAAGGAACTTTTCGTTTTTAGCCTTTGCAGACCAATTACATGCACAACAACCTATGACACACCACAGCGAAGAGGAACCTCCCAAAACCAAAACAGGGCGGCTTCAAAGATGCATGTTGAAGACTGTCAAGATTGTACAAGTCAGTTCCAAAACTGACAACTTAGACAACAGGCCTTTTTCTTTTATTTTAGATCAGTCCTCAAATGCTTAAAAGCGGCACATTTGTGTATGTACTTTAAAAAATCTATTAAGTGGCATGTTTTATTGCCATGCAACCATTTTGTTTTATTTATATAAGTTGTATGTTATATTCCCATGTTAGTGTGTTGCAATCTCCTTCTGTCCCAGCATGGTGAAACCTAGAAAGCCCAGTTATTCATTCATTCAGTCAAACACACATTGAGGGCTCAAGTAGCATGCACGACACATGCTTTGGTCATGTGATGACATAACTCTATCTTCCCTGACCTATTCAGTCCAACAAAAAATGCAAAGCTGGCATCTGTTCTTTGGGGGATATTTAGGTTGCAAACAGCTGCAAAACAGTGCAAATTATGGTTACCCCTAAAACAAAATGTAATTCTACAGTTGAAAGATTGTTTCCTTCCAAAGTATACGCACATAAAACACATTATAAACACGAATAAATACTTCATTTGTTAGGGACTATTTCCGTCTTTGGGCTGGCTGTTATAGTGAGCATTTTCATCGCAATAAATCAATGTTGTGTTTAAATAGATTTTTGGATACAACCTGAACTCTATAACACTTAGGGTTGAGCTATATCAGGCTTTGGCCCTAAAGACATCCAGCTCCAATTTCTGTTAATGTAATATGATCAATGTGAATTTTGTATGGCACAACAGCACATAATCAAGTATACAAAACTCAAAGAACCAAGGTTTATTTTAAAAACATGAATCTCATACTGACAGTAACCAATGTATTGGCAAAAACTGCATTTTGTAAAAGTGAAAAGTCTCAGTAAATTGTACAGTGGCACCCAGGTTTTATGATAATACCAAGAACTTGCAGAATGGCTACAGAAACACATTACACATGTTTGAAGCATGACCATGTACACATTTGTCATGTCTCCAAAGAGGTAATATTAAAACAACACATTAGATATCATTATTAGTTGATATGTCTATTATTTGCCCTAATCACATTCTTTCTGCCTTATTTGAGAATTCACATTATCCAGTTGTCTTCAGAGCACATTAGAGAACTTGAGTCTTGTGATGAGACCTTATGTGTTCTTTGTCCTTTGTGTGTTTCTATTGTTCCCAGACATGTTCAACCGAGTTCAGATCTGGTGACGTTTCGATCCAAGTTTCTGGTTCAGTGGAAGTTTCTTCTCCTTAAACGTCCAACATGACTCTGCAGTGTTAGGCAGTCCTTCTGTTGGCTTGCTCTAACCTGTCATGTGGCTGTCTTCACACACAAGCTCTACATTTGCAGCTGTAATGTTAACTTATTGGTACCAACAGTGATGATTTGAGTTCTTATTGGTGTTGTTTTGATTACAACTAACCATTTGTGAGTCTACCTCAGTGTGTATTTCAATGCCACACAAGATTTAGATGCCGTTATGTGCCACAATCTTTAATCCTGGACAGCAGTTTATTCCTAAAGCTCTTTTAATAGTTACAGAAAACTGCTTTTTTCCAAGCATTATTAAAAGGGACAATAATGCATGTCATTTCTGTTTGTATTGTGGCTCACAACAGCATTACATGATGCATAGTCTGAAGAGAAATTAGAATCTGAATAAAAAGTAAGAAAGCAGTAGGATGATGTTCCTGAAATAGTTCTTGGTAGAGGACTTTAAGACCACTGTATATTACAAACTACAGGTGTCTGGGTGTAATCAGTTAAAGGAAAGTGTTGGGTCAAAGCAAACCTCCAGTTTTTAAAGCACTGAAACACAGTGCTTTCAAAAGTAAAAAAAAAAAATCTATCAACTACAGTTTGTCCTATACTATAAAGACAGGAATAGTTCTTGTTTGTCTCATCAAAGATGCTTTTTTTTAAAATTATTTTGTTAGCTCTGTAGTTGCCCATGTTGTCTGTGTAAACAACTGGGAGACATTTAGTTACTGTAACAAAAACAGGCATTACTTATGGCTTCAAGTGCATTGACAAACAGTTTAGGCAGTAACTTCTTCTTATGGCATTGGCTTAGAGTTTTCCAGCTTATTACAGATACTAAACTTGACAAAAAGTGTGATTGATGAAAAGTGGAAAAAGCTCTGTAGAAAGACAAGTCATTATTTTATGGATTAAGGCTTCTGAGGTTGTTATTGGCAGGAACACCCTGAATCACCCATTTCCAAACTCATGTTTTGAGGTCCAGCGTAGTGACAAATTTCTTCTGACTGAGGTCTGCCTTTCAAAGAGCAACCATGTAAAACGGCACCAAAACAACAGCAATCAATAATGCGTTCTACAGTATCTGTCCTATTGTTGACGGTGATTTTGTACTGAGAAAAGTTGCCATTCTCCTTTCTTGATATGTCCTGTGTGGAAATTGTTTCCTTTCCGGCGATATGCACTCTGTAAAACAGGAAAAAACAAGAAATAATTAGTTATATCACAGATCTTGTTTGCACAAGAAGTTTTCTCACTATAATTTCACTTACATTCATCTTCTGGTGAAGCATCATTTTCAAATGGCTCCTCTTCTTCATCCGTCTCTTCCGCCTCCTCTTCAGCTGCTACATCCTGCTGTTCTTCCTCTTCTTCTAACACTTCCTTTTCTTCCAGTCCCCCATCTCCTTCAGACACCACCTCCTCCTCTGCTTCCTGGGTCTCCTCTACAGACTCCTCTTCCTCAGCCTCCTCTGCAGGAGCAGCTTCATCTGTCACAGAGTCCTCCTGCTCCACAGGGGCTACTTCCTGTGCAGCTGCCTCTTCTTCGCTTTCCTCTCCTGCTCCTTCTGCCTCAGTATTGGATGCCTCTTCTTCTACATCTGCAGGAAGTTCCTCCACTTCTTCAGGTGCTGCAGCTGCCTCTTCCTCGACCGCGGGAGCTACCTCTTCCACAGGCTACAGCAATGGAAAGCAATCAAATACATCATGAGTTTTTAGAAGACCACAGTCTGCACCTCAATCATGTCACAATAATTTACAAGTGTGCTACTTGGACATCCAGGTGTCTCTGTAAACAGTATGAGAAGAAATGACAAACAAAACTATAATCTATAATATACTGTATGAAGGTAAGTGTAGATGTGAATTCCTCGGAGATACCATGCCAGGCAATTAGCTTCTTCAAATTAATGAGATGAAACTCTCATTAGAGTTCCCTTTGGGCACACAGTGAACAGAAATAGTAATGTGTGCAGACAGTTTGTGTGCTCATGCATGCTCTACAATTAGAGATATTCGAAAGTGTAAACTGCTTCTTAAACTTTACATTTTCAAACTTTTTTAAAGCCTAATAAGGCTTACACATCTTTATATACAGAGACATATCTTAAGTCTGGTTACAGGCCTCTCAACAACCCTACATATCTTAGATTTGTTCAGCAATTTAGGAATGTCTTTGTATTGAGATATATTATAACCAGTTTAAGTATCATTAATCGACCAATCAGGGTTTTGTGGGAGGGATTAAAAATGTCAATATAATCTTCCTGCGAAACCAATTGCCTGACATGAGAACACTGTCACGCTAGCGATTCAGTCTGATTATCAGGGCGAATATGATTCGCTTGTGAGTTGGTTTCCTAGGTAACCTGCTCCTGTATGTTCTGCAGCTGAGTTTTGATCCTGCAGACTCTGACGTACCGTTTCAACCTGTTCCTCCACGCTGCCCTGCTGGAGCTGTTCATTCTCGATCAACCCTCTGAAAGACAGAAGACACAGTGAGAGGTTTTAAGTTAAGATCTCCATTTCAATTGTTTTCAGTTTTGGGGAAAGAAATGTCAGAAGAAATAACATAATAAAGTATTGTGAAGTCCCTTGAAGCCTGAGCACTTATTGTTAAAATAGACACAGATAGCTTCATTACATAGCTTTTCTAGTGTGCAACAACAGCCTGTGAACCACATTTCCATTTTTTTTTTTTACATGAGCTTCAAAGAGAGCTCACTCTGCAAACAAATGTTATGCAAACCTTTCAGCTTTAAAAATCATTATAATAGAGATGTTTATACAAATCAGGACAATCTCACAATGTGAACATGAGGCCTAAAGACTCAGGTCTGGAGTAACACAGAGACAGTGGCCGACAACAGGGCTTTGTCAAAGTCAACATAAAGTCATGGGTCAGAGGAGGTGTGCTATTTTCTCCACTGCTCCAAAAAGCAGCAGATTTTTTCCACAGCCTACCTGACATTAGCCATCTCCAGAGTGCTGGCCTCCATCTGAGCCTGGTAGTTCTCCAGCTGCTGCTTCAGCATCTGCACCTCGGCCGCCTGTCCGTCCATGCTGGCGCTCAGCGTGGCCACCTCATCCAGTTTCGACTCGGCCTCTCCCATGCTCCCCGTCAAGCCTTCCACCTTCTGGGACAGTTGGTCGCTCAGCGTGGACAGACCCTCCACCTGGATCCTGACCACCTCAAACTCCTCGCTCTTGCCTCTCAGCATGCTCTGCAGCTGGCTCAGCTGCTCCAGGGACACTGTGGCCTGCTGCATTTCCGCCAGGCGGTTCTTCATCTCCGTGTGGAGAGACATCACCTGAGCGGGGAGGTCAGACGTCCTGAGCTGCTCAGCTGTAGCCAAGGCCATGCCCGCCTGTTTCTGGGCCAGTGCGTAGGAGTCCTCCAGGGCATTCAGGCGGATCTCCATGCTCTCTGAGGCTTGCTGCTGTAAAGAGACATACAGGAGGGATGTTGAGTCAAAATGGCCACTTGGAGTAACCATCACTCTGCCTGAGATGGTGCAGTCTCTATCTACTGTATAAATGGGTCCCAACACTATGAAAATTATATAAAAGTCCCAGACCTCTAAGATGCCAAAATTAATTTATATTAAAATGCTATATTATTATAATAATGTACTTACAAAAACTGCATTGCTCCTACCTTAAAGTGTTTTTAGGAATCATTTGGTAGATTCTGTTCAAATTCTAATTTGTTCTCATTAAATCACTGTCATGGTAAAGCAATCAAATGCTCCAAGAGAGTAACTACCCAGAAACTGTCCAGGATGATCTAATTAGTTAAACCAATATCAGAATCTAACCAACCATGCCTGGACAGAACATAAAACTATAGTTACTTGCAAAAAGTTGCAGGTGACAAACTGGTGTTTTTTTCAGTTACGTACAGTATGTTCCTGTCAGCCAATTAGTATTGTGCACATCAGCAAATGTATGAGTCACAAAAAAAAATTAACTGCTGATTCAGGAAGTATGTCTGTAACAAGACTGAGCTAGCAAAGCTGCTCTCATGCAAATGTTTTGCCACATTAAATTACCGGAACGTCAAGTGTTGCATAAGAGAAGAAGGGAGTGGGTGGATCGTATTGTTTTGTTTAACTGCTTTATTAAAAAGTTAAAATAATTCTGCGTGGAGCAACTTCAACATGGTTGGGAAACACAGGTGGAGTGAAATACAACTCAAGGCAGCCATGAACCTCTGTTTGCAGTGGTCAGTTCATTTTTACAGATATTTAAAAGTATAGGAAACCAACACAGTATTTAAAAAAACAATGTGTAATCTCACAAACTCAGATGGAACACTTTATGATTGCCTTTTAACAGTAACACTATCTCAGACAGAAGGGTGTCGCCTTGACCATTGTCAGGCAATTATCATATGAATGTTAGGGTTGTAATTACCATGCAATACTTCCCCTTCTGTCTGCCCCCCACCTTTCTTAAAGACTGTAATGAAATGACCTAGCTGAATGAATACTCTTCCTGTGTCTCTTCCCTGTATAAAGTCATTGCTTTTCTGTGTAACTTTAGTACACATTGTTGCAGGGTTATCTGTCCTTCCAGCTGGAAATAAATTGATTCTGTTAAATGCTATAACTCTTTATTAAATAACACATTTTTGGTTTGAGCTTGTATCTTTGTTACTTTCTTACCAGAAGGTGATTAAGTGTGGAATTTCCACCACAGGCAGCATCCTCTATACAGCTCTAAAAGCATGTTTTACTTGAATTATAAAAGCAGATCACTTTTGATTTTCTGTAGTGTGAGATCAAGTCCCTGCAGGAGTAGGTCAGGAATAATCCTCATTACAAACGTCAGCAGCTGTGTGGATGTTAGAAATAGCAGCGACGTGTGCTACTCACAGCAGTCAAGCTGTTGACATTTTGAAATCTGATATAAGGCCTGCACTTTCCTTACTTATAAGAAACTGTGTGCTGGGGCCTTTTCTTGTGGAAATTAGAAGAGATTTCTAGTGTTTTCATGACAGGATATTTTTAGACTATGGAAGGAGGCGTGTTGCTCTGTGAATGGCTGCAAACTCAGGTGATTACCACATTCTCAAAGCAACTTTCAATTACTTACCTGGTTATTTGACTGTCTCATATCTTCGTGGGACGACTGTAGCTTCACTATTTTCATCTGCATGCCCATGAGATTGTCTGTTAAGTAGGTTAAAGTTTGGTGCTGCTGGAAACAGAACCATGAGCCAGTAGCACCGCATATTACTATCAGCAGGAATAAAACCAAGTGGAGAGCGATGTTGTTCCCCCCACCGCGAACTTCTGTCTCCGTGACATCGTTTTTGAAAAAGTTATCTTCATGTTTGTAGTTGTTCTTCCCTTTGCGATGTTTTGCAGTCATTTTCCCCCACAAAGGACACAATGTTCTAGGCAGGCGAGGTGGTGTGCAAGGAGCCGGAGGGTCAAACAAAGCAGAAGCAAAGTAAAGAGGTTTAAATGTTGAGGCTCCTCAAGCGCAGCGCTGCACAGATCGAGATGGATTCAATCAAAGTGCATTAAAGAACCGAGAGGCTGCAGCGGGTTCTGATGAAGAGGCAGAGAGGAGGATGAGGCAGAAAGGGAGGCGTGGACCGAGGAGGCGTGATCCTCCATTCAGGAAGAGGAAGGGGGAGTCGGGGGTGGGGGAAGGTCGGCACCAGGAGTGGCTGAGCCTCTACCACCATGTGCATTGCTGTCTTCTAATAGAAAAACTACACGTACGGTTTCCCTGGGCTATTTATTACTGCAGCATGTGGTCCCCTCAGTGGGTTACAATGAGGTGACATGACTGTGACTGCATGGAAACCCTCCTGCTGATCGGGATTAATTTAATCAATTAACCTTTGTTCATCGTAGGCTACAGTTTACACAGAGATAAAGGTCACCTTTGGTATTTGAGATGTCAACATCTTCTTGGCCTTTGCTGTTTCCATACTCTATCTGACCTTCATTTAACGGTTGAATGCTCAATTGAAACTGCACTTTGGTTAAATTGCCTGTTAATCCTATAGTCTAATTAATTAGGTTTTCTTGATTTCTCGCTTTTTTATACTTAGCCTATTTGCCATTGGTGCTGCATTTTTTCCTGTTGTTTGTGGATTTAAAGGGAGGGGTTCTTACAAATGATTGACTTTTCCTGTTGCACAGATTCAACTTTGACTAATGATTTTTTTTTAGGGCTTGTGTAGTACCACCTTTTTTTTCTTTGCAGGGAGGGCTAGACCCCAATAAGCAGGTTGGACAGGTTGACATTACTTAACACAAATCCAATCCAATCCACTTTATTTATAGCACATTTTAATAACAGAAGGTTTGCCAAAGTGCTTCACAATGAACATTGTACACAAATAGATAAAATGCCTAAAGGCTATGGACAGACAATAAAAGCATACAAATAGGTAGTGACAAATGACACTCTCACATGTATAGGATAGACACAGCGGGAACACCTGGACATGTTTCCTGTTAGATGACAGTTTGTACGCACAGCATGTTGCCTTTTGAATAACAAGAGTCTCAAAAAAGACTTAGGAAGAACATGAGCAGAAACACAGATTGTCAGCATCTTGCGTGTTATGTGTCTGGTGTCAGATAAGTATAGTTTCACAATCTGTAGTGCAAAAATATCAACAATCAGCTGTGAAAAGATAATGTCGAACCACAGCCATCTCTGATTTGAACCATGAGACAGAAAACTCTGTGACAAAAACGTTTTAAAACCATCCAATGAACTGTTTTATTTGAGTATTGTTTTGTTTTTCTAAGCAATACAGTTTAAACAAAATTCCATCTTTTCCTATTGTAAATGTTGCATTATATCCAAGCGACACTTCAATTTAAACAACATGTAAAATATCTAAACTTTAAAATAAACACTGCTCATATTGTGGGGCCTTTAGTGTCTTCACTCTGTAAGAAAGAGATAAATTGTTTAGCATCATTGAGTATGTTCTTTAATTCACCTATCCTTTGAAATAAAGTGTCTCTCTCACCACTGACACTGAGGGTGGTGGAGCACTCAGCCCGTCCCAGGGCGTTCTCTGCAGAGATGGTGTACTCCCCCATGTCTTTGGGGCCTACGTGGAGAATCAACATGGAGCAAACTCCACACGTGTTGGAGATGTAATAGTTGGTATTAGTGTTCAGGCTGATGTGATTCCGATACCAGGTGATACGAGGTGGGGGGTTTCCCTTCACTGCACAGCTCATGTAGCACTCATAGCCTTTTGGTGCAGTGTGAAACTTCAACGGTACAATGAAGGTTGGAGCACATCGCAAATCACAGTCCTTAATGGTCGGTATATACACCATGAATTTCTCTGCAAGAAATTACAAAAAGTTAGGATGTTCCCTGTGAATATTAAGATTTTCTTACCAACTTACCTTTCTTCTTCTCCCTCCTACAGGTTGGTGACTCTGACGGTGCAGAGATGCCCATGTCGTTTTTGGCATACACCCGGAAATGATATTCCCTCCCGTGCATGATGTTGCATACTGTGAACCTGTTATTGAAGAGTCTGTCAGCCACTATGGTCCATGTGCGTTTAGTGGAGTCCAGTTTCGACACTGTGTAGTGGAGGCGGTCATCACGCTTCTCATCAGGAGACGGTTCCCACATCACTGTCACTGTGCCGGGCACATTTTCATCCAGCTCTACCGTACCAGGGGGCTTCGGATCATCTGTAACCACAATCAGTTTTAGTGTTTCATTCATTAACACTTCTTTGATATAGAAAATATACAGTGTTATTGTTTTAGTTTTACCTGTGACCCTGACCTCTGTACTGAATGTCTCCTGTCCTGCCATATTTTTCACCAGAATGGAGTAGATGCCAGAATCAGAGCGCTCAGAGGAAGGGATCAGCAGCTGGGACGAGCCGTCAGAGTTACTGACTGTAACTCTCTTTGACACTGGCACATTGTCCTTCACCCATGTAATAGTCGGGCGTGGAGAGGCCTGTGGAAAAGAACATTAGCAATGCAATGTTTCAGGCCTGAATGTATCCTCAGGGTTTTCCTCCTGATTAGTTTAGCAGAACCAGTTGTCCTCAGTGTGTTGTCAATAATGAAGCTAAAGTAGAAATGTCACCTCAAAGTGCACTGTGATCCTGACAGAGTTCCCCGCCTTCACCACCATGAAACTCTTCATTTTGTGGTTCGTGAACTTTGGCCTCACTGGAAAAATGAGCACAAATGATGAAAAGTGCTTTGGACAATGTTTAACTTCATGAGGTTTGTTTTAAAGAGTGAGAAATGGAAGGTCAGTTCCCTGAAAATATTTCTTTAAACATCCAACACAATACTGATCATATAGAGAAGCATTACATTATATGTACTAAGAGATATGGGACTGTAAAGAAACAGAATATAAAGTAGATTTCAGTCCCCAAACTTTCCCTTGTTAACTTTCTGCACAATGTAAGCTGCAAACCAACAACATATTCCAACAAGCATTAACATACCAGGTGATGGCATTGCGAGGACATAGTTGGGCAGCTCCTCTGCAGCACCATTTCCTCCATCATTAAACGCAATCACTCTCACCCAGTACATCTCCATGTGCCTGAGGCCTTTCACACGGAAGGAAGTGGTGATGATGAGGGTGGTGTTACAGCGGGACCATTCAATGCAATCTGCAGGACGAATCTCAACAAAATATCCCTTTGCTTCATCCTGTTCCCCAGGTTTATCCTCAGGTTTGGTCCAGGTCAGGACAAAGTGGGTGTAAGAAGTTTCCGTCACCTTCAGGCCTATCACTTTACCAGGAGGCTCTGGGGTACACAACAATAAAGATTATGCAATTACAAATGTCAGATGTTTAAGATTTAGGTAGTTATTTTCTGATCTGACATTTTATAAGTCTAATAAATATGATCCTTTTCAACGTCAATACAAATAAAATGCTTCACATTATTAGGCAAATGTTATTGATTTCATATGCATTTAGAATGTGTTCATGAATATATAAATTGTGCAATCTATTGTTTATTTTTAAGCATTAGAAAAAAAGTTGCTCACCCTTTGGATCCCGTGCAAAAACAAAGTCTGATGCGCTGCTGTTTTCTCCGACTCCAGAAAGGTTTATGGCAGAGACTCTGAATTCATACTCCATCCCTACCACGACATCTTTCACTGCATATTTCTTTTCTAAATCAGAGAATTAAAAACAACAAAATCTCAGTCTTATGGTCTTCATTGCAGGATTAAACTACAATCAAATAAAAAGGACAAACCTTTTATAAATTCATCCATGGCATTGACAACAGTCCAGAGATTACTCCCTTTTTTGCGTTTCTCCAAAATATAGCCCAGGAGACGTGAGCCTCCTGTTTTATTTGGTGCAGCCCAAGAAATATTGATGCAGTCGTCAGAGGCGCTGACCACCTTTGGAGGCGCTGGAGGGCCAGGAAAAGCTGAAACATGCAGAGATAAATTGGTAAATTATATAGTCAGAGCTATTTTTTACAGTTGTGTGACTCTTCAGTTTAATAGCAATGCTGTATTGATGGAAATGAAGTTATAATCTGGTCATGTTCAAAGAAAAAAAACTGCTCTGACATCAAAGGTCTTTCCTGTGTTTTCTCTTGATTAACACTCTACCTTATAACTGTGCAGTAAATTATTGTTATTGTTAATCTTACATTAGCACTGTCATGAAATGTTCAGCCTCTCAGTGAGTGAAAGAAAATTAATCAACTAATTAAATGATAATTGATGCATTAATGGAGTGATTTATTAAGCTAAAACGTGTAAATTATTTTATATTTCTCAAGTGTAATAATGTGAACTTGTTATCTCATATCATTGTAACAAAAAAAACATCATTTTGGGGGGTTTTGGGCTCTTGATCGAAATAAAAACAAGTGACTGATCACTGATGCAATGATAAAGAAGAGCAGCAGGGGGCGGTAATGAAACTGAATTGTATGATGATCAAATAAGTATTTTTGACATATCGCTGTATGAAAAGTACAGGTGTGAGTCACTGATTAAATTAATCATGGTTGAACTCCTGGTGACTGTCATACTGTCATGGCTTAGTGAGACATTTCTAAATAACGTTTTTTTCTTATTTATTATAATATTTATTGCAGTTATCTTGTTTTCTTGGTGCATACACCCTTAATTGGCACAGGCCACACCTGCCTGAAGGAAGGTTACCAAAGGGGAACCGCAGCCAAACAGTTTGGGGCATTTGAGTCAATTTGAAAAATGAGTTGGACATTTAATTCACTGATCAGCAGACGGATGAAAAACATTTGAAGTGGATATAAACTTGTTTGAAGAATCTGGAAACCTCTTCAAAATGGTTGTAAGTGTTGTTAAACCACTTGTAGCGTTTCTGAAGGTTTGCCTTGATACTAAAGGATGCTTAGCTAACTTAGCTGTGTAGCTAACTAGTTAATTGTGTAAAGTAAAGTGCTAAAGTCTGAAATATAACAACGGCTTTTACATGAAAGGCGTAACTAGGAAGTTCCTCACGATTTTACTCTTTGTTTTGTTAGTTTCTTTGGTTATCAAGGTCTGTAGTAGGCTTTAGTGTCATGTAAACAAACGGTAAAATGCTATTGGTTTAGTTTCTCTCAATAAACAACGTTCTTCATCAATCAGTGGACATTAATTCAATGTTAATAATTGATCACAATAATTCCCATACAGATATAATTCAATCATTTAATAGAGACATTTAGCTGCAGAAGTTATCTACCCCAGAGTTTTTCAAGAGACATAAACAGGGGAAGACCCAAACCGGTGTTGTTGATCTGCTGATAAACTGGTAACCCTAACACTAACCTACTTAAATTAGCCAATTAGACATCCAGCTAAATTGTAGCACATCCCAGTCTTTCTCCCAGCATGTGCTGTCTGGGCTTTTTGCTGACATTAAAGAAAACCTTGATCACAATAAAACCAAATGTCAGCCATCTCGTATAGCTTATATATCTAATATCAATCCTTGTGGTCTTTGAGCTGCTGATTAGATGTGTGTCATCTGCAATACAGTTCTCTCGCTATCTAACCCCAATGTTACTGGTTTCCAACAGCAACAACTTGAGGGGATGAGTGGATTGCGACCATGGATGAGACTGTCAACGTTTCTGTTCACTGTTGGGCCTGACTGGAAAACTTCTTCAAAACGTTGACTCCATGAAGGAAGTGCTGGTGGATGGAGTGTTCTTCAAGCAGACTTCAATAAGTAAGTGCACGTTTTTTTTGTGTGTGCTTGTATCATGTTTCTTTGTTTGTGTCTGGCAGCCGCTGTGCTGTAAATAACCTGTGTTTGTTTTGACCAGCTGCGTTTTTTTTGTGGTTTGCTGTTCTTTTACATATTCATGGAAATGCATTGAAAACCTGTTCAATATAGTGGACTTTTTTCAGATCTGGAGAGAAAAAAAGATGCCACTTTTTGATTTGATATGTTTATCAATTGGCTAAGTCTTGATTTGTTAAGTTTCTTGTTATTTGCTAATAAATGTTCAAATATAGTTAACAGGCATTGAACAAAAAAATGGAAAGGGTCCTTTTATCATCTGTTGCATCCCTGTTCTTAAGATTATAGATTAGTAGGTGGGTCAAACTGATCCGACAGACATCTCGGAGGTATTAATTTGGCTCACCTAGTGTGCCGGCTTGCATTTCATCAGTCTCCATCACTTCACTTGTACCCTCCGCCGTCACTGCCCGGATACGGTAAAAATATTTCCGTCCATGTTCTACATCTGTGTCACAGTAGCTGACCACCCCAGGGATTTCCCCTAATTTCTTCCATGTGTTTCGTCCCACCTGCTGTCGCTCCATTATGTAGTTGGTCACTGGTGAACCTCCAACATCCTTTGGAGGCCTCCACCTAAACTCAATACATTTAGCTGAGCTCTCAGTTACCTCTGCAGGGCCCAGGGGGGGAGTGGGTTTGTCTGAAACATCAAATAAAGTACTTGTTAGAGCTTGACACATTTCCTTACTTCTTTAAACATGTGACAATGAATTATGCATTTAAACTAGAGAAACAGCATTTTCCTTGAGAGAAAATTATTTTAAGATTTGACAGGTGTAAGGTGGCAGACGTAGCAGAGGCTTGAACTTAATAACTTTTGTAAAGAGCTGAATATATTTCCAAAACACATCTTTAACCTGTCACATTACCACCGAACGAGATTCAACTTTGCTTTCTCCTTTCAGTAGTATTACAGAGCTGCAGTTTGAAAGCAAATACCTCCATCTGTCCAGGCACAGGTGGGCTCAGTGAAATGTGGCTCCCTTTCACCAGATAGAAAAAAGACTGACTTGATTCTTTTTCTAATTATGCGAATGAGCAATGAAGCATTTTATGACACTACTGTTTGCGTTTGATCTTACAAGAGCAAATTCCTCTGTGCTTCAATGCTTGCTGCACAAATCAAATCCATTAGCGTTTTTTAAGAATATATTTTTCTTGAAGGAGTTTGAGTTAATTATTTCTTTGAACTGCTCTGACATTTGTATTGTTGTGCTATGAAGAGCCTAAGATTAAAATCTGTGGGTGATAAATTGATTCCTCTGTATTGAATTGCTGCATCATTCACTCACCAAGAACAATTAACTGGGAAATTGCCTCGATGAAGCCGTGTTCGTTCTTGAGCTTAATCTTGATCTCTCCCGTGTCCTTCCTCTGGCACCTGCTCAGCAGCAAGCGGCTGTGACATGCAGATTTCTCTATCTTTGTGGTGTTGTCATCTAGAAGCTCTTCTCCCTCTTTGTACCACTTAATCTTGATGGGTTCGTGGCCAACGAATTGCAGTTTGAAGATTGCATTGTGCCCCACTTTCACCGTCACAGACTCAGTAAAAGCCTCGAGGTCTTCGGGGTCAAACCTTGGGGGATCTACAAAAATGGGTCGGTTAGTTATTTCAGTCGTATTTATCTGAGACCTGATTCTGACCTTTTCTGTAAATGTATATATTTTACTTTTCCAGTTATACTTCATAAAATCAGTTTCTTATTTTCATGACGGACTGTCAAACCTTTCACGTTGATCATAGCCTCTGTTTTACGATGGTCTGCCTCAAAGCGGTATTTCCCAGTGTGCTCTTCCTCACACCTGATTATGACAAATTTATGGATCGCACCATCTTTAATGACACTGAAATTGTCTTCTGGAGATATCTGAAACGAAAAAGGGCAGACAGATGAAAATAAACAAATCAATCACAGTGTTTCCCCAAGCAGAGAGAGGAGCTGTGGATTATTGTTATTGATTAATGCATCAGTGTTTCTTAGGGTCAAAAACACTAAACTCACAACTTAAAATGAAAGCGTTTAGTTTATTTAATAAAAGAGCACATGTTCAATGTGAAAAGTGACGGTAGTTATAGATTAGCAATTTAGTGCTATATATACAAATATAAATAAAAAGACAAGACAATGGTTGGGGAAACACTGAATCAACAATAAGTAATTATAGTTATAATCACTTAAGCAACACTACAGGTCTAAAATGATTCTGTCGGTCTCGGTGTTCTTAGTAGGCTTGAAGTATCTAAACTACCAAATGTTTGGGAAATAAAACAACAAAGCAATTTTACAATATTAATTTTCGGGTCAGTCAACAATGCTAATATAATTTTCCTCTGAAAAATGTCCTTATCCAGCAAGCAGCAACAGTGTTTTTTTGTAGATGGTCCTTTTGACAGATACTAACAATGCCTTCTGATTTTAAGTCATTAACGACCAATGATTAATACGTCACTTATTCACACATTCCCCTTATACAGCAGAAAATGAAACGGAAGTTAACCAACTGGTGTTGAGATTGCTAAGCAACCATGCAGTATCTGTCCTTGAAAAGTTAATATTTTCACGGTATGATGAGTTTGACCTTTACGACTGACCTTTTTCCCGTCTCTGAACCAGGCTCCCTCACAGTCCTCACTGCTGAGCTTACATGTTAGCTCAGCAGTCTCATTGATGATGGGATTGACATCAGACAAACCACAGATGAAATGAACCCCTGGATCTAACACACACAGCAGGGAACAGTTAGACACTAAGATCATTTTGATCATTTGAGTCATGTCAACTGAAAGGTACTGAAAATATTGGTAAATGAACTACTTATTTGATAACCAGATTAACAGACGCAGAAGGAGCCCTTATCCTATGATTTAGTCATGACACCTTTGAGGTTACTTACCAATCACCACGTCTTCTATCAGTTGGCCTTTTCTTTTATGCCTTGAACGTTTGGCAGTGCCATTCCCACTTTCAGTTTCTTCACTCTCATTGGGGCCTTCAGGACATGTACTCGGACCTTGTTTAAAAAAAACAGTATGTTGGTATACTGGAAAACAGAAAGTGAATAATGCTAATATAACTAAAACAACTATTTCTGCCTTTACACTACAAAACAAAACTATACACAGTAATCACTGCCTCATCTTCCATTCATTAAAGAAAACGTTTTGGAACATTATAAAAATCCAAACATGTTTTTTTTTCTGGCCATTGTCTTATACTATACCTCCATGCAGTAATTTCTTACCATTGATGGATTTCTTTTGCCGCTTGCTTCG